TACTGACACAGCCGCAATCAGCTCTTTTCCCTTGATACAAAAAGGGAACTTTTGCTGCTGCTAAAGTGTTTTTTATGTGGTCCATGATCTCCACAACATGAATCCACCTCTCCCAACCACTGGAAACACTGAAAAATAATTTCTTTCAAAACCAGAAAAAAATAGAAGGAAAAAAAAAAGTAAAAAGAAAAAGAAAAAAGAGAGAGAGGGCAGGAACACATTGTGGATGAGAAAAGATTGTTTCCTGTTATAGGGATACAGTACAGCAAATCAGAACAAATTAGTTTCATATTGGTGGCCAGCAATGGATTCCACAGTTTAGCATAATTATAGCTTATTTTGTTCTGCATATTGGACAAGGTAGCCTAAGCTTAGCCAAGGAGCTACTTTGAAGAAATGCTCTGACCTTAGCCAAGAAGCACACAATTTGGGATTTTTTTTTTTAATACAAAAAAATCTGGTGGTTCTTTTTAATAAATTGCAAAGAAGACAAATATAATCAAATTGGCCTGACCAATAAAATCCAATGAAATTAAATATCAGTTACCTGGAAAGTAATTTGTTTATAGAAAAGTAGCACCTCGTCTGGCTTCAAAGCATGAGAGGTATGACAGAGCTACTTTATTCATGTTATTTTGCACTTTCCAATCCCAGTCTGTGTTTGGGTGTAGCCCACTGAAAAGGTGTCTTTTACTAGGAGATGCTGAGACTTTATGTAAACAACTCAATCCGTTGCATAAGATGATGCCATTTTTCCTGAAAGGCAGGAAACTGCTGAGCAGTTTTAAATTGAAAACCACTTTACAATTAAGAAATAAACCTGCCAAGATCCCCTAAAAACATGCAGATAACTGCATCAAACACTGCAGTGAGGTAGAACAAAAAGCCTCCTCAAGTTCTCTTTGCAGGAACAGATCCTACAGTACTATGATTCAGCAGTGTGCCCATTTCTATTTTGTTAGGATAATTTTCCTTGTCTTAAAAGTTACTGTTACGAAAAACAGGTAGACAGATAAGGACAGATGTCATGTAGACCAAAATGTTTTAAATATAATTCATTGTGTTGTCACTGAATCTGATTACACTTGCTTCATTATTCAAGACACCAACATTTTCCTTGAGGAACTCTGAAAATCAGATCATGTATTTACAAGATCATTCTTCAGTTATTCCAAGACTTGCTTACTGGCAATATTTTTGCAAGTTAAGCATAAATTCTAGTTGATACATGAAAAATGTGCAGGAGTAAAGGTGTTTTTTGACTGCTTCTGCTTTTGATGAATTGCTTACAGCCAGATTTTTCTATAGGGGTTAAAAAAAGAAAAAAAAAGTCGTCAAAATATCAGAAGTGGCTGACTATAGTTCCACTACTAGTCCACTAATAGGCACCTAAAATGATTGCCTGTTTTCAGTAGGGCTGTGAGCCTGACAAGGGTACTTTTTATTCTTTTTAGGTTTCCCAGTAAGAATCTCGATTCTATATGCTCACTTTGATCACATTGTCCCACATGACTTAAAATGCAAACAAACCTCCCATAATACTGAAGGGGCATTAACTGATCTCGTCTGGATGCTGCACAGAAACTGAATGGTCCTTGCTTATTTGATTGGCGAAACTATCATTCACTAATTTATGAGGTAAGGGAAATTTCCACCACCTCATCTGAGAATTTGTTTTCTCACATTACTAGGCCAATGACAAAGGTGAATTTATAACCCTTATCTCACATGAATTGACAAGAAGTGTGCTCCCTGGATTTTGGGATCAAAAGAAGTGAGAAAGCACAAGATTTATGTGTCAGTGGTGTACATGACTCTAAAGTAGCTAAGTAGGTATGTGTATCCAATGGCTCACAAATAGAAACAGAAACAATAAAAAAAATGTGCAGTGCACTTGGAAGTACATTTGATGGTCTCCACTAAGGACATAGTGCTTTATCCAACTATAGTATTTAATGGTGGCTAGCTTTTAGCTCCAGTTTAAAAAAAAATCTCAAGAAACACAACTTGGCATGAGCTGAAAATGTCAAAAAATGGGTAGTTCACTTCCACTGAATTCTTTGGGTGAACTACCTTTTAGGTAGAAAGAAGAAAAAATAAAAGAAGTTATTTGATCCTTTTTCCAAAAATTGCTAATAAAATATGCACCAACACCTGGCAAAAGGGTTCCTTTCAACTGGATCTTTAAGTTGTGGGTTTCTTTATATCCATGGGAAATGAGTACCAAAGTAGTGCAAGCCTTGTTCCATAACCTCCAATGGTAGAGCCTGCAGTTCAATGATTCCTAATTCTAGGGTTGGTTCAGGTTTTTTTTAATGGCTCAGAAAGAAAACTAGGCCAGCTGCAGCTCTGGGCAACAATTCCATCCACAATATATTTTCCCGTTGCTGCTGTTGTTTTTTGTTCTTTTAATGAAAAACCAAAACATCAGAATTCTTTTTTTTTCTTTAAATCCAAAACCTAATAAAATCATGTAAGCATGATTTTCAGATGAAACCAAGCTGTATTGGCAGAAAACTCTACAAAGTACCAAGGTAAAGATGAATGTACATCACTTGTAAATGACACAGCCTATCTAAGAATATAATGACTTTTCTGATAGTATCTCTAAGAAAACTCTTATATCAGAGGAATCCTCAGCAGATAAGAAAATTTCCTCTATGCCAGAAGTGTTGAATAGAATTGTAGATAGATAATATAATGTTGGAGAAAACATGGAGCTGGACAACAGTTAGAAACAGCTGAATTACAGATGCACCCTCGTATCTAGAACAGAAGAATTATTTAGATTTAAGTTTTCGTTATATACATGAGCTGCCCCTAATTTCAGACATTCAAGTTAGAACCTGAGTGTTGAGGTAATAATTCTGATTTTTATGATCACAAATTATATTAATGCATTTAATGCTATCATGACTGCTCTTCACCTGCAAATACATAAAATATGCAGCATTTTGACACACACAGCATTCAAATTCATTGGAATTTTAGGATAGATTCAGGGAAATACATTTTGGGCAGATATATTTAATTATGTTATTGTTCATATTAATTATTAGAGAAGTAATAAATCACTGTAACCAGAAAAGTGGTCAGGAAGTATGAAAAATGAGTTAAAAACTAGGGAAAAAGAGCAAATGAAGAAGCTGCTCAGAACCATGGTATCCATAAACCATATGGAATAAGTTATGAGGGAAGCTATTGAAACAATGAACATAAGTAGTTTCAAGAGACACTTAAATTATTTCCGAAGGAAGAGGCAGAGGGGAAATTGTTAAAAAGAAAAGAAAAATAAAGTGGAAAAAAGACCAATCAAATGAGAAATCTGTTGGACAGATGGTCTTCCTTTGTTCTTAAATATCTTCATTTCATAAAATTGAAAATTAAAGTAAAAATTTAATACTACATTTGCCCAGTAGCCTGAATTAAAAAAAAAAAAAAAAAAATCTCAGCCCTAATTTTAGTTTCATTGAATTAATCATTCAGTGACAAACCCAATTTGTCTTTGGAATATATGAGCACGTATCTTGTTTTACATTTCCCAGAGTAAGATGGGCTGCAGCTTCAGGCACTACATTTATAGCTTAATTAATCTCACCTAATTTCAGATCCTTTAGTGAAGCATAGGCTCCTTGACCAACTCCTGCTGATGACCTGAACCACCCCTGAGTTCCAAACAGATCTAAACCACCAAGTGGGTGCCTATTACTGCCAATGATGTGTAAGAAGACACATCAGGAGACAGAGGATAGCTCATCCAGAATGAGTACAGGTCAAGGTCATGACTCATCTTGTGCTCTCCAAGATACATGAGGATAGGGAAGATAAAATGACGAAATGAATATCTTCTGCTACATCCTGCAAGACTTTGTGTCTCCAAGCACAAATGAGTGCATTGATACCAGCACAGATGCACTGATCCATCCATCAAGGCAACAAAATGTTTCATTATGTGTTTCTTTGCTACCTGACAACATGGTAGTTTTCCCAAGAAATGGCTTATTTACAAGTCATTTTAGAGGACTTTAAACTTCAGGTTATTTGCATGAAATGGTAATAAATGAAGCCTGTTTTGCCCTAGATGTCTTTCTTCATAAGTTGTAGCCACATGGTATGCAGAAATGATCATTGCATGCATGTGTGAGCATGTGCATGTGTATTTCCAGATGCTTTCTGCTTTAAGAATTCACAACTGGAAAGAAAAATAGTAAGCATAACCAGTTTGTTCATTTGGTTAGTTGTTTTTTTATGTAGTGTTCTTCAATGGATATTGAATAGCAATAAATCACCTGCCCTTCTACAAAACAGCCTGTTTTGAGTTGGAAAAAGCTCAATCATTTCCTCTATCCATCAGCTTTTTTATCTAGGTTCATTAAAGGTGGGTAGAGTGTTCTCCCTCTCCTTCTGCTGATTTTCCTTCTTGTTTTAAGGCAATAAGAGGTATAAACAACATCTTAAATTTTTATGGACAGATTATTGGTTACAGGTCTCCTGATGCACCTAAGGATGGCTGATTCTCTACTCTAGATGTGGAGCTGCCATACAGACTAGAACAACCTCCAGCAGTACTTGAGAGGCTCCTTTGTGCACTCCCACAAGCCCAGCAAACACAAGGGATTGAATGTCATATCCTGATCAAACAAAAACATGTTGTTCCATATACAGAATGGGGAGAATAATTGGCACATGAGTCCTTGTATAAGACCAGAAGAGTATAAGCTAGCCCTAGCAGCGACCCTTAAATTACAGTCTCAGACTTGATTTTTTTCTGTTTGGAAGCTTTGTGAGTCCCACATATAAAATAGTAAGAACTAAGAATAAGATTTCAGAACTATGCCACCAAATAGTAGTTATCCCAGAATAAAAGTTTGCTGGCCATTTGCTTGGGTGTATATTTAGTGACTGCATTTTTTCATACAGCTTCTTTCATTGCTGGTAGGAATTTGATAAGCCACCAGAGAAAGAAATGAATGAGTGATTTAATTTCAAAGGCATCTTACCAGTGGGCTACCATCAGTCCAGCGGAAATCACGCTCAAACATCTTGTCATTGAGGCCAATCCACTGGTAGTCATGCCCAATGCCTAAGGAACCAAAGGATATTTTTATTAACCTTCCCATAAATGGAAGAGATTTCACCAAAGAAAATTAAAAGAATTTGCACAGAATCAATCAGACATCATGTTCTTAAAGGTTCTCCCACTCATTACACAAACTATTTACAGACTGGTTTTCAACTTTCCAATTTTATTTTGGAGTGTCTATAAAAATGCAGATTCTCACCTAACAGTTTAAAACAAACCGGTCTCTTCCCTCCTGACATCATCTCCCTAATAAAACAGATTATTTTCCTACCTGAGCGCATTTGAGGTGGGGGAGGGAGGGCGGGGGAAGGAAAATAAGAAATAGTAAAAATAATAAAAGCACGTATTTTAATCTATTTTTTCAAGTTTCGGTTAGGCTATGACCAGCGTTGTCTAGACTGTGCAACAAAACATACAGGAACTACTTCTTTATGTCTACTCAATGCAATATGTGGTTGTGTGGTCATTGATGTCAGGTGCACAAACTATCCAAAGGTTCCAAAATAAAAAAGATTTCATCAATTTCCAATGCCAAAACAATGGTTCTTGTTCTTATCCTCAAAACCTAAGTGTTTTCAATGTAACTTATAATAACTTAATTGCGATAAGTTTGGCTGCAAAAGTAAACATGAAGAATACAAAGTGTGCATTTTAAACATTCTAAAAGTATATTTTAAGATGGAAATGTAAAAGGCTGAGTGATCAGGAGGATATTTCACTAGCTCTGAGCCCTCAGTGCCAGCTTTTTTTTAGAGGAATCCTAACAGTACATACGGTTCACAAAGATCTGTTCCTCATGAGACAAGATGCTTGTCAAGTGTGCTCCCTGGAGACGGCATTCCCTTTCAGCCGTGTCCCACGTACGCCGATGGGCAAAGTATTTGTAGCACTGTCCTTGGAACTTGTGCCAGCCATAATCACAGGTCTCTGTGTCTGTGACAAGCAAATAAATCACTGTCAGTGTGTGTGAAACAGAGGCATGTTCCATGCAAGTAGATGGATTTTCCGCAGGGCAAACATTCAAGAAGATACACACCCATTAAGTAGTACAAATGCAAACCTTCCACACTCATTCTTGAGACCTCACTGCATCTTAGGTAGTTCTATTTACCCAGTTTCAGTACAAGCTGCAAGATTACTTATGTAGGAAGTATAATTGCAACTGGCAACTTTGTAAACTTCCACTGATAGAATTGTGCTGTATATGGACAAATTTAGGATATCTTCAGCCCATAACTTTAGATAAAGGAACTACCCAACAAGTTTTATCAATCCCCAAACAAACCCGTGCCTGAAAGCAACTGTCTGGCCTTTCCAGAGACATAGATACATTCTGGGTATGAAATTGTATTTCTTATTTTCAGTAAGTCAGTATAGTCAATAGTGAATACCATGCTTTGGCCAAAAGGGATCTTCCTGCATATAGTACAGAAAAAGCCAAATACTACAGAACATGTCAAGGATATATGATTGCAAGTTCTTTGTCAATGACATTTCTTAGGTTTGAGCAGCTACAAACTGAAAGACAACTGTGTAATAATTTTTCTCACAACACACAGCTGGTTTTTAATTTGTAGCAGGATGAGGAAATTCACATCCTTAGGCACTGAAGTGTATATATATTTTTTTCTTTTTAAGTTTTTAAATCTTCACGGATAATAACTAAACTGTACATATGCATAAACATTTAAAAATACAAGCATATCACTTCAGAGGCTTATCAGAATTTCTCTGACGATTTCTGGTAATGCTAATAACACAGCAATCATTGTCTTAGGAGTCTGGTATCAAAAAACATTTTCTGAAAGTCATCAGTACAGACATAAATGTATCAAATACAAAGGCGTAATAGAGCTTACAATGATTATCTGTGTTCAACAAGTTAAGCTGTAGAAAACTGCTTGTGCCTTGAGTAATCCCAGCTATGAAAAAGGAATGTAATCTATACTACCAGCTTCTTAGTTTTTTATCTTTTCCTTCTTCGTATGCTATATGAGGTACAGGATGCTTTAATCTCTGGCATCTAGGCCTTTTTAAAGTTTAGTCTGCCTCTAGAACATTTGTTTAACCACACAGTGCTGACTAACAGTGCTATGTCCTTTGTGAAGGCTCTTAAGGTTCTATTAGTCATCTTGTTCAGGGACTGTTTTGTCCCACAGGAAAGCAGTCAGATAATAACAAGCAGCATTGCATGCTGAGAAAATCGTGGCCAGAGAGCATTTCCAGGCTATTCTAATCAAGTTTTCCCTGGCTTCTGCTAGGGAAGAAGTCCACAATTCAAGATAAGATCTACTGAAAGGCACACAGGGGAGACAAAGAGGCTTGAAAACACAAAACCTAGAAGGCTCAGTTTGAAGAATGAGATATAATGGCCTGAACATGAATCATAAAGTTTCTTTTCTTAAGATAGAAGATGCCAGAGAGTGACATAGATATTCTTAGTTGCAACTCATGCACTGCAGTGCACATACAGCTCCTCTCTTTTATCATATATGGCACATTATTTTCCAAAAGGGAAAAGTTGAATAACTCCTGCATGTGTTTGTAGCCTAAATCTACAAAGACAGAAAAAACAGGGCTGAAGGCTACAAAATACACAGAATTTTTAGAAGGGGAAGAGAAGTTTTTTGGGTTATTTTGGCTTGGGGCAGGGGAGATTGTTGGTTTGTATGGGTTTTTTGTGAGAGGATAGATTGATCATGAGAGAGGAAAAAGGTATGGGAGAGGGATAGTCAGGAGGCTAAAGCATGAAAAAGGCAAATCAGGTAAAAATGTGGGGACCTTATCATCTCTGCAGTACTTTGTCCTGTGTGTGTATCTTATTACATTAAAAATGCTGAAAGGGTGACAAAAACGTAAGGCTTCCACATGGGTATAAGTTTTTAATGTCTTTACTGAACCAATAAAATCTAATCGCAGGTGGCTATAAATTTCCTGAACCAATCACCTGTGAACAGAGTAGGTGCAAGCACTTACTGAATACAATGTTTCATGTTCATTGTATACTTATCCTGGGAGGTAATCACACATTTCCATAACCTTTTTCCAGAACATGATGGAAAGACTGAAACCCTGCTTGCCATATTTATGGTGTTTTAAAAGTTGCCTGGCTAGTCTTAAGATTTCTGACAATTTCCAGGCTTTCTCAGTGATGTGGTGCGAGGAGTTACGTACATAGCTTCTGTTCTCTTTACCTGGAATTGTATGTCTATAACAACATCTCTAAACACTGCATTAAGAAAAAATATCTCTGTAGGTTTAATACATAGATACACTTTTATCAACAGCTGCAATAAGCTGCTGATAGTAGGTCCATTGTCTTTAAAGAACTTCCGTAAGAGGCTTGAGGAAAATAAAGACTGAACACACAGGTACTAGAACATAATGAGAATCTTAGTCAGTGGTGAATTTGCTTTCTGTCTGCCTTCAGCTAATGAACAAATGCCTAAGGCCCATTAGCCCACACATCTTAAAGAGAAACCCATTTTCCTGCAAAATATTCAAAATAAACCCTTTCAGCTGAAAGACATCAATTAGAGACCATCTGTTTTCAGAAAGTATCTTTGCTGAGCCCTTCTCTAATACTTCCATCCCAAGCTACCAAGCTCTGGGAATAAAGTGAATCAAATGAGACCAGAATAATCACAGACATTTGAACAACGAACTTGGGTTGTAAGAAAACATTCTTCCTGACATGTTTTTAAGAAACATCCCACTTTTTTGTTTTCAGAGCCTGGAAGAGAACAGCTGGTTGTATTATCTCAAAGAAGCATGTCCCATAACAAACACATATGTGCCATTTTGGCACACAGGCCCATGCATGCAGCTGCATTTGGTAAACAGGCTAGCCTAGGTGCACCTGCAGAGATCATGCAGCCAAGAAACCCAAACCTGAAGTTTAACACACAAATGCTGCCCCTTGAAAGCAGGTAGACACCAGTTAGAATAGCAAAAGCAGAAAAGGAAAAGGAAACTCTAGCCAGCCAAGGAAGGAAGAGGAAAATCTAAACAGCTGTTCATCCAGTTCTTGTAAAGAACATTTAACTGGTAACTGAGAGCTCTCATAAGGACTTTTCACAGAGGGACTGGTTTTCACAATGGAAAGACTGATGACTCTCCCAGAGTAAGTCTCACATCAAGATCTACTGCAGCCTGCAGTCATGCTTTGAAAAAGCGTTTTTGGGATATTTCTGCATTTTAAGAAGTAATGTTCAAATGTCACCAAGTGACATGCAGAATATACATTTATACTTTGAAAAGAGACATGGTAGGCAAAAAGGTACCCAGAGGTACTCCACTCACTTTTAATCTAGTCTGAACCAGAAGTGATGCTGCCTTACTGAGTTACCAACCTAGTTCAAAAAGGAAACACTCTCAGCTACTCTATTTCTAACATCGGACCACTTTAGCTCTTTTCAGGAAGAAGTTCCTGGGCTCATATTGTCTGCTGCACTGTTTCCACTTGTGTCCTGGGTTCAGCTACAGCAGTCATTTTTTCGCCTTCTTAGTAGCTGGGGCCGTGCTGTGTTTCTGACTTTCAGTCTGGGAACAGTGCTGATAACACCGATGTTTTTAGTTGTTGCTCAGTAATGTTTACTCTGACCAAGGACTTTCTCAGTCTCATGCTTTGCCAGAGAGGAGGGGAAGCCAGGAGGAAGCAGAGGCAGGACACCTGACCCAAACTGGCCAAAGGGGTATTCCATACCACAGCACGTCATGCCCAGTATATAAACTGGGGAGAGTTACCCGGAAGGCCCAGATCGCTGCTCGGGTCGGGCTGGGTATTGGTCGGCGGGTGGTGAGCGGTTGTGTCCTTTTCCCTTGTTATTCCTCTTATCATTATTATTGGTAGCAGTAGTGGTTTGTATTATACCTTAGTTACTGGAGAGCTGTTATCTCAACTCGTGGGAGTTACATTCCTCCGATTCTCCTCCCCATCCCTCCGGGAGCGGGGGGAGGAAGAAAAAGCGGGGGGAGTGAGCGAGCGGCTGCGTGGTTCCAAGTTGCCGGCTGGGCTTAAACCACGACAACTTGGCAAGAGAAATGTCTGTCAAGGAGCCAGTTACAGCTCACTGAGTTGCAGGACTGCATTCCCACACCCTATCCTGGATCACCCTGAAGGCTCCTCTAACTTGTACCTCCTGCAGGAGCTCCCTGATGTTAAGCTGCACTATCCTATTTTCACAACCCCTCCTAACACTGACAAGCTTAACACGTCAGCTGAAGATCCCCTAGTCTAGAAAAGTCTCATGGAAGCACTTGGTTGAAATTCTGAGCTCTATGTTTTTTCTACGTCAGTGTTGTGGGACCTGGACATGGTGGAGTTGTCCTCTACTTTGAGCTTTATTTCCAGAGTCAATGCATGCTCGCTGCTACCCACGGCATTATGAATACTCAGCACTGTGCCTAAGGCAGCTCTTCAGCTTGGCTTTTTTCAAAGCTTTCTAAAACAAATAGTATATACATTGGAGGAAAAAACCTACAAAAGTAATGAAATATAATCTCAGTGTGCTCAACTCCACCTTTCCTGTGGCACTGAGGTACGCACTCTGTCGTCCTGGCTGGTCTTTAAATCTAGTGAGGTCAGGACTGGTGCCTTGAAATAAAGCCTGCTTGCCAGACAGCCATGTCTGAATTGCCAACACGGTTTTATTTTGTCTGGTGGAGTGGAAATTTGGCACTAAGTGCTTTTCCTAAGTCCCAAACCACTGTAGAACTTTAAGTGGAGGAAATTTAAATTCCAAAGCTGAGCGAGCAGGGCTCTGGTTCTGATTGACAAATGAGGAAATGTTCCCATTAACCACCTAAAATGCACTCTCAGGTTGGTCATAAAAAGCAGCTGAAAGCTACCATGGTACTCAGAGCTACTCTCTATTATAGATATGCTGGAACGAGAGAGAGGAGGAAGGGAGTTAGAACATTTATTTCTTTTGTTGTGAAAACACTGTCAGTTTATAATTTGGGAGAACAGATTGGGAAAGCCCTTTCAAATCACAAGATTAGCCAGTCTACTGAAAAAGTTAAACAGCAAAAAGCAGTGGAGTTGATCAGCTTCAAGAATTCTCAGCTCTAACAAACAAATCTCTATGAGTTGAGCTGGAAGAGTTTGCAAACTACTTTTCACTGCACTGAAGATGGAAAAAAAAACCCATGAAAAAAACCCCAATGTTAATTAAACAAATTCAAAGGTCTAGTTCATTCACCTGTGACCAAAACCATTCAGCTAAAGGAAAAAAGTATTCTCACAAGCTTTGGAAAATATCCTTAAAAACACCATTTTTTTTTTCCCTAGAAATATCTGCATTAATTTTACTGACAACAGATTTTGCTACCCTACTCCTCCACCTACATGAACATATTGAGTAAACATCTTGCACTGCAAATATTTCTTGCAAGTACAGTGGGATTTCTTGCAGGCAATGTTCTATTACAGAAATTTGGATATTTAATCTGATTTCTGCTGTCCAGTTAGAAAGCCTTTGACAACTTGCTTGTAATTGTGATCCTACATCTACTTTGCCCAAAATAATTACAGAACAAATCAGTTTGAAAATTCTGGGATGAAGTTGTGAAGGCTATGGTCCCTAGTGGATGGGTATATGATCTGGCACATTGAGTAGGCTATTCCTACTTTTTAGTAAAGCCTGTTGGAAGTGATGGATTCTGATATGACTTTCACATTGTATTTTACTTTTTTAAGAGAGAAGTTTGATCAGAGAGTAACTCTGCTCACACTCGTTATCCCAGAAGCATCTCTACAGTAATGAGAGCACCTTGCTATGTGTATTCCCAGTAATTTGTAAGCCAATAGAGGCCAGCTGTGCTTGCCTTGGAGCCACCTGAAAACTGCGTAGCTGTTATTTTGACACAGAAACTACCCCACTATAACCATTTATATTTGGTACAGCAGTAATGTTACTTCCAATCAGGTTAGCACATGGATAGAGTTTGTTCTTATCCATCTGCAAAAGATGGTGCAGTTGTAACCTTAAGCAAAGAGTCCTGAGCCACAAATCATAGGAGTCTAACATGCTCAAAAATTGTAATCTCTCCTCACCACTGATGGCTCCTCATATTTTTACCGTTTCTTCCATCCTCTCATTTTTAGGAGGGTTTGCCTAGTTTCTCAGAAGAGTATTAAAATGGAAAGAGATGACCTCAATCAACATAGATTAAAGAATACGCATTACCTTGTTCACAAAGAGCACCTATATAACTTGGCAGACACAAGCAAGTAAAGGTATTGAGGCCGTCTATACACGTGGCTCCATTCCGGCACGGGTTAGACTGGCATTCATCAATATCTACAACATAAAGATAAAAGTGTTTTTATAATCCACCCCCCTCCTAGAAGGGAAATGTTCTTCAGACCTAGTCATACAGTCATGACTATGACTGGACCTAGTCATATGAGGACCAGTTCAATCCAGAATTATTGCAAAAGATCCATGCGAATGGTTTATTTGCATAATAACTGATTTCACTATGCCCAAACTTCCTCTTCATCCACAAGCCAAGCAGGAGTTTCCTTAGGAAATGTGACATTACTAATCCACGGTTTTATATCCTGCACTCTGACTCCCGAGTTCTTGAAAACTATCCCAAGAACTATCCCAAATATTAATGTTTATTTGGTTTTATGCGATGTATTTGTGAACTTAATCTAATGAATTCTAGGTCATGTAGTTCATTTACAACCCTTACATTTGTGTCTGTACGTAGTTGTGCACTCTATGGGGAGAGAGAAAAGGGGTATAAGCAAACCTCCTCTTTATTGTTCTCTTCTTAATAAGGCCTCACTATAGAATTTTTCAAATGTCTCTGTATTCTTTGACTTCAAAACACAGCACTTCTGCAGATCTCACATATGAAGGCTTTATGCGCAATAAGTGTCTAGATTGCATGAGCTTACCTAATTCACACTGCTCGCCGTTGAAACCTGGCAAACATGTACAGATGTAAAATGAACCACGCGGATAGCACGTACCACCATTAAGACAGGGATTGCTTTTGCATGGATCTTGGCCTGTTGAATGAGTAGAAAAAGGAAATTGACTCTATACCTTCAAGGAACTGCTGTCTTTTTGATTTCTTGAAAGAAGAAATCGTTCTTCATTTCTGCATGGATGTAGCAGGCTTTACTGTAGTTACAGAAACTCTACTAATATAATAGACTAAGGAGAGTAAGATTTTTTTATATAGTAGTAAAACTTATTTTCAGGCATTGGTATTTTCAACTTTAACGACAACATGGCATTTACTATGAACCAGTATAAATAATTTTTAGAATTACATTATTTCATAACAAATTGTGCTGTATTTGGCTGCCTTGCTATTCTATTGAAGGTTTAGTTTGCATGACATGGTAATTAATTATAGCTGAAAATAGTTAAACATATGCAAAATGAATGGAAAATGCTTGCTTTTTTTTTTTTTAAGCAGGGTTAGTTTATATGGAATGATCGGGTACACAGAACATACTGTCTGGTTGCTGTTTTTTCATTTTCGTATATTTAATCAATCAATGCCCAAAAGGTCTTATTTCTTTGAAAGAATACTTTCACACATGCATATTCCCACCTTTCTTAAAAACATGTTTCAAGAACACAAATAAAGGTACTGAATAACTGAATTAAACATAAAGATAAATGCTTACCTGCTGTGAAATCCCCAGTTGTTATGGGAGTTACCATTTAAACAGCTTTTCCTTGCAGAGCTTTATGCCTTCTAGTGATGTTTATTTCAGCTGAGTTTAGAAACCTAGGTATTTGCATTTTATTTAATGCCTAGGAGCAATTAACAACTATGCACCAGATAACCATTTCTAAGTATAAGTATCTCAGAGTCAGAGGATAATCAGGAAGACAGCCCTTCTGGGGCACAAGAAGAAAACCTTGGCTTTGGAAACTTTAAGAAATGGGAGAGTTCTGTAACCTAAATTAATTTAAAGACATGAGAAAAGTTTAGATATTTGATTACATTTTTCCAAAACAATCTGACTGTTTTTTGAAATAAAAGGTACGTAACATCTATTTTACCCTTGACAAATTAGACATTCAAAGATGTCTTCTTAAAGTACTAAGTTCCCTATCTAGTCACTGGAGAGCAGAAGGTTCAATTGGAAGCCTCCACATGAAAATTCTGTCTGCATAAGTTTGGGATTGTAATTTAGTGGGCAGGATTTTGCTTTGGAGGTTTTGAAAAGAGTGACATTTAAATGACATTTAACTAAAAGATCTGCAATTTGTAAGAGACAGACACAACCACTGAAAGTTACAGACAGGCTGAAAACATGAAGTCTCAGTTTTCTCTTGTCTGAAAAGTTATCTTGCAGGCTAAGAGAAATTATTTTTTATAGACAATTCTGATCCTAATATACACACTAGATCCACTCTCTAAGTCAACTACAAGATATTGTAAAACAATCCTACCTATAAACCAATTGTATAAGTACTGTCATCATGCCAACACAGAAAAGCTCTCAGACAAAATTATCTGAAATTGGAAAATTAAATAATTACAGCTGAATTCTCTATCACAATCAATGTTACCTTCCTGTCTTTTAGAACTGGCTGGTTACCTCAAGTCTGACCCAAAGCTCCACAATGCAAACACTCAGAAAAAGTCAGTGAGATTGAGATTTGGTCCTCTCATCCTACTTCACTTTGTAAGGGTTACAATCACGTGGATTTCAAAGCTTGAGGCTCATGAGTTCTGCTGTTATTTCACACAGTGCTCTGATTGTCATACCTCTTGTCAGAGTTAAGACACACATTTACATGTACCAAAACAAGCATATACACACTGATTGTATTTGGAAGTTACCTGGAATTTGCACTGCTGTGCCTTCAACTGAACCCACACTGGTGCCAATCAGGAAATCTGATCCATTAGTGACTTCAGGAAGGGAAAACGATGAAGTTACAAGTTCAATAGTGTTTGGCTCCTCAGAGGTTATTGTAGATTGCTCATTTTGATATGGACTATTTCCAGGAGCAAAGCTGTTTGTTGCAATGTTAGAAGAAATTGTTGTGATCTCCTCTTGACCAAGCAAAGCTGATTGTATTTCTGTGTTTACATCCAAAGGTTGTGAAGATGAAGCTAGCATTGTAACTGCTTCCTGGTCAGGTTTAAATACTTCACTTTCAATGCTATTGGGTGAATCTGAAACAGGTATGGAAAAAAGCCATGGGATCTCTCTCTCAGTATTTCTGTCATCTTCTTGACGGGGATTGTTCACTCTCCCTGGGGAAGCTTCAACTTTTACTGTGCTAACATTTGGAACATCTGTGCTCACTCTTTCTCCAAAATTCAGAAAAGCAGTAGGCAAGACATGTATTGATGGAGAATCTCCAGAAACAGTAGCTTCATCCTCAACAGCCAAATCAGAGGTTTCTGTCTCCTCTATCCTGTCTGTTACAAAACTGTTGAAGTGAAGAGTACTTTCAGTAGTTGTGTTTTCTGAAACAGGCTTGGCAGAAAACTCCAGCAGAGAAGACTCTGTTCTGTCGAGAAGGTCTGTGGTGGGTGGTTTATATGTTGCTGCAATATCAGAACTGACCTCTTTGAAAGTTTCAACTGATGAATGATCAGGCTGCTCTGAATCTTTTGAAGATGATGTACTTGGAATGATTATATCAGAGTACTCAGATACTCCGTTAACCAATTGAACAGTCACTGAAGATTTAGGAGTTTGAGGTACAGAATAAAAGCCTGAATCTGTTTCTTCATACTCTGCTGATGCCGATTTTGTGTTTGTGTATACTGTGGGACGCTTTTCTTCGTTCTTGCTAGATGATGCAGTTGTCATTTGGGATGTATGCTGTGTGGTGACAACAATTATATCAAGCATGTCAGTTGTCAAAGCCTTTTCTGTTTCAGTAGTTAAAACCGGTGTAAGAGAGGGAATCACAGGCAGCTTATCATCCAGTTCTTCTCGTCCTATTCCGGAAAAGCCAGAGACAGAGATTGTTTCACTTTCATCTGCTATTACTTGGTTGTTTGCTGAAGTATTCAGCTTGTAGTTGTCATCCGTTGTGCTTGTTACAACATGTTTAGACTCATGAAGTACGTGAGGGCTTGCCAGTGATGGCACTGTAGGAAGGAAGATGCCCAGTTCAGAGAGTTTGGTAGTGATGAGAGTTTCTGTTGCAAGCTTCATTGTACTCCCTGAACCCAGATCCTTGTCATCTGATTTTGGTCTGTGCCCAGCTGTTACTGATTCACTGCTTGGCTGACCAGAATTAGTTGAAGAAAGACTATCAGATCCAAGTGTCCTCTCTTTGGTTACAAAAATTTTAGGTGTTGATTCGTATTTTTCCTCTTCAGCTGTCATGGTATCATCACTACCATACGTCGAGTGTATAACAAGATTTGGCATTGTCTGCACACTTATTATATCTTCAGGCATTGATTTTGAGTGATCCATGTCTATAATAGTTGCTTCTTCAGATGGGATTTGAAGTCGCTCTTCAATTAGTGTAACATCACCATAAACAGAAATGTTCAATATAACACTTCTTTTGTCATCAATCACGGGGATATTTTTCTCATATATCCCAGTATCACTTGTTAGCTCTTCTGATGTAGCTGTCTTTGGTTGAACAGCAGATGGATTTGCCACAATCTCTTTATCTTCTGTAAAAAGGGATCCCAGTCCTGTGGTGACAGTCTGTGGTCCATCTATTGGTGCCTCTGTTGTTGTAACTTCAGAATAAGATTCCCCAGGAACACTAGATGAAGCATTTAGTCCTACCTTTGACACAGGGGATATTGACAAATGAGTAAACATATCCAAAGATGAATCCAAATCACCAGCCAGGCCAGAGCCTTCTCCAGAGCTTTCAGGTAATACTCTGCCTGGCATTTTTGTTGTTGAGGTCACAAGCGATTCTTCTTTTTCAAGACTAGGAGTTCCGCGCAGTATTACAGAAATGGGAGTTACACCATGTTTCATCAGTAAATGTAAAGTTTCCTCTTGAGAAACAGCTTTAGCAGTAGATGTTGTCCCACCTGTTTCATTTTCTCCTTTCCTATAGTTAGTTTCCTTAGCATGAGGTTTTTCAGTCACAACAAAATGATGTGTCATCTCTTTGATCTTCTCAGAGATGAAGCTATTGGAACTCTTTTCTGCTAAAGCTGAGGAACTGGTGATCACTGAGCTGGGGAACTGGTTTTCTGTTTCTAACAGCAGCCCAGCTACAGCACTTGTAACTTCTTCATTAACTTCAACATCTGTTTCAGTGCTTCCTCTGTCAAAGTCTTGTGTCCTGTCAGTTGATAGTTTGGGACCCAAATTTGCAGGATGAGAAGTACGTGGATTTAAAGTACTCATGATTTCTTTGACAGCCAATGGCACTACAGCAGAAATAACAGCAAAGTCTACTCCTGACCCTTGTCCTGAAAAAAATGCATCACCGATGAGCTCATTATTTGTTAGCTTTTCTTCCTTAGGTGTCAGGAATGAACTGGGAATATCTTTAGTAGGGGAAATATTTTGTATTAACTCCTCCTTTTGCTCTGTATCTGTAACTGGAGAGCTTTCAATCTTTGCAGGTTCAGTTACTCTGTCGTCATTAAACGGCAAAAGTATTTTTTTAACAGATTCAGTTTCTAATTCCTTTTCTTCTGAATACAGACTGGCAGTTGGAACATTTAAAAATCCCAGATGTTCATGGGTAGCCTGTGTACTTATAAATAATGGGGCTGCTGTTGTTTCTTTAGAAGATTCTACAGCTTTTGCTGAAGTTTCCTGTGGCCAGTCTTCTCCAGAATATGTATCTTCCACCAAAGGAGTCTTTGTCAAAAAATCTCTCACTATCAGTTCATCAATTTTTTTCTCTTTCATTCTCATGTCAGTTACAGTTTCCATTGTGGTTGATTCATGTTCAGTACTTGTAACTAGCTCCCCAGACTCAGTAGTGAAGGCATAATTCATAGACAGTGTGCTGACAAGTTTTTTGTCATATTTCTCTTCTGTTTCTGGTTTGCCAGTGGGTGAAACTGCTGGTTTTGTAAATGATTCAATGAACATGTCTGCTTCCCCAGATCCCTGATCAATAAATGGGAAATTACCTCCAAGTATTTCTTTAATGGATCCATTAGACATTAGTTCTGTGGTGCTGCTGTCACCTTTGAATTCTTCTCCAGAGCCATGCTCAATCAGAAGAATCTTGCCTAATGAGACAGCTGAAGAACTAACTTCTGCATTTCTGCTTTCTGTAGATTCAATTATTCCTACTGTACTGCCAGTATCATGGGTCACCATGATGTCGTAAGGGTTATTACTAACCGCTGATTCTGGAGATGATGTGACCTCACCTGTTTCTAAATACTCAGTTTTAACTCTTGGTGCAACATGAGATATTATGCCTTTTCTAGAATCAGGACTAGATTTTACTTCAGAAGGAGCTGTATTAGCCGGTTCTGTTTCCTGTTTTTGTTTTCCCAGGTTTCCTGTACTAAACACATCCTGGGGCATCCGACTTGCTACTCCAGGCTCCTTTGTCAAGCTATCTGACCTAGTACTTGGAATTGATATTGCTGATTCATCTGGTCTTGCATGTTCTTCATATTCTACTGTTGCATTCTTCAGTAAAGTGTCATATATACTGTAAACTTTTCCTTCCTGCTTTTCTGTTTGAGTTACAGTGATAGGTCTTAATGGAACTGAAGTCAAAGTAGCAGACTCAATGGTAACATCTATGTCTCCAGAACCTGGATCAGTAAATGGGGAGTCAGTACTTACCACTTTTCTTGTGGGACCCCCTGAAAATACGTCTGCTGGTTCTTCTCCTGATCCTTCATTTATAAAAAGCTTCTTCTCTCTCAAGAGAGAAATGGTGGTAACCTTTTTTATTTCAGAACTCATGGTACCTGTTACCGGTACTGTTTTCCTGAGGGGGGTGGGCTCTTGACTTACAGTTCTGACTTCATTAGTAGTGCTCCTAAGTTCATTCAACTCTGAATTTCCCTCTGCAGCAGTAACTGAATAAACAGTGGTTTGTGTTTCTTTTTCATTTTTTATATTCTTTTCAGTTACAAAAGAGCTGGCAACTTCTTCTTCTGTAATAAACTCAGACACAGAATTGGTGGCAACAGTTACTTCAGGATTTTGATCAAAAGCGGAATACAGAGTGTTGATTCCTCTAGGCAAAGCAGAAGTGATTCCTGGAGTGGTTATAGAAATTTCTGTTGGCAGTACTGTTCCAGAACCCAGAGAAATATCTTGCATTGAAACTGCTTCTGTTACTGCTGTTTCCGTTGTCATGGCTGAAGTTATAGTGATGTCCTTTTCCATGTCTCCAGACCCTTCTAGAACTATGAAGGATGCAGCATTCATCTGGGGCTTTGCTGTATGACTTTCAGCAGGGAAGTTTGCATTAAGTTTAATAGTTGATATATAATGATTTCCTGGAGTAGGGGATGCCTTTTCTGGAATAACGTATTTCACACCTATGCCTACTGTAGCAGTATTAGAAACTGCATCCAGAGAAGCAGTTACAGCAGAACCTTCCACAGCAAATACAGTAGGAGCAGAAGTTATACCAGAATTTTTTTTACTGTCTTCCTTTCTTGGCATTGTCACAATTTCCGAGAAGACAGATCTGGATAAATCAGGTTCGGTGGAGCCATCTCCAGAAGATTCGTTAGTAATCAGAAGCAAGTTTTTTGTATCTTTAGTAGATGTCTCCTCAGTTCCATGCCATGTTACAGTCTCTTTATTTTTTTGCAGGGCCTGCTCATGTGAAGAAGTAATGGCTATTGATTTATCAGTTGTGGTAACTTCTGACTCACCACTATAAACAGGTTCTAACATTGCAACATCTGCTGTTGGTTGTGTAACTTCAAATGCCCCTGTCATTTCTCCAGCTTTGCTTGGTTGCATAGTACCAGAAGCTTCATTTTCAGGTATTATAAATGTATTTGTTTCATTGATTTGAGAAAAAGTTACATTTTTGGAATGTGCAACACTTTCAATTTGGTCACTTCTCGCTTCCTCAGCTTTTGTGCTCTTAGGTGCGCTAGTAACTTGTTGCTTTCCATTGATGAACTGCAAAGCTGGAGGAGTTGTAACATCAGTAGTATTTTCACAGTCTTCCTCTTCCTCAAACTCTACAAAGTTTGGAAAGAAAGGATCCAATATTATATATTCAGATGAATCCTGCACAGAGTCTGAAGTACAGGGTTCAGTCTGAGCTGATTCTGCATCAATGTGGGATTCATCTACTGCATGAGGAAGTATGTGGCGACTGAACAGATCCAAAAATTCATTCACCGGATGATCTGCAAAAAAAAGAGAGCTTTTCATAATCCCTAAGTGACAGCAACAGTTGTACATTATAATAGACATAAGAAGTACAAGCAACCCACTGGGAAAAAAAAAAAAAAACAAAAAAAAACAAACCAACAAAAAATTCAAAGTGAAATACAATAAATTCAGCAGGTTACTCTATTCACTCCAAGTTAAATGCCACCACAGTGTTTGACTTTCTAATTAAAACCTTTGTGTATATTGAACACATTGCTCATATAATGCTGTCCATTGCCATGCATGTTTGATCCTGATCCCACAAGTAAGCTAACTTATCCTACACTATTCAGGAGAGGTGAGAAATGGATGAGATATGGAAACCATATTTAGACCAACAGACTCTGGTCCCAGCCTGCAGTAACTGCTTCCATGGATCTGAGACACCAGCTAACCTTTAACAGAAATCCAATTAGACAAAACTAAGCAATGCAAAATCTAAAATAAATTCAGACATATAGAATATGTCCTTGCAACTCCAATTTTTCTCAGTATAAAGTAATCTAAATTCCTAGGAACACTATAAAAACTACATCAATTGTTCTACTCTTTACACTAGGTCAGTCAATAAAGTCTTACTTTGTAAAGTTGTTGTTACTTGGCAATGTAAAGCATTATAAAGCAAATAAGAAAAAATATCCCAGATTCAGAATCGTCATTTAGACAGTAATGTGAGTAAAGCCCAGCTATTTTCTTCTGCTTATTGCTCCTTTTGAATGATTTACACACTCCTACAGATCACAAACCTCTCAAATTTTTTTATAGGTGGCCAAGAAGATAAAGAGGAAGAAAGTTTTAAGTAGGCAAGGTTTTATCTGCAGAAGCCCTTGCAAATTCCTCTAAGACTTATGATCTCAAATTCCATAGACCCTGTTCAAATGTGCCTTCTCAGCACAAACATCACTTCAAACCATCTGTTCTAGACAATAGATGCTACCATTATTAAAAAGAGGATACAAGATTCAGCAAAAGGCCATATTTCAGGCTTGGCCAACTGGCTTGAAGCTGGAAACTTTGTGCTGAAACTTTATTCCACGAATATATCTTTCTTCTGAGTCTATGTTTACAAGCCATTTCCCCAAAAGAAAATTACTGTTTGTTGGTATAAACTGATGTTATCAGTGGAGCTCTGTCTACATCTGTCAGTAGAAGATCTGAATCAACAATAAAACTCTGTCTTAGAGCACTGTCAGCAATGATTGCTCCCCAAAGAACATTTGCAGTATATCACAGAACACAAGTTTTTAAGCAAATCTTTCTCATTAAAACTGTTTATAATACATAAAATTATAAGAAGCTGACAGGTAAACTATTTCATTAGTTTGAAGTAACTCCCCCACATATGAACATTGTACAACCTCTGTGACAACTGGGCCCTCAGAGATAGAATAATCAGGTGATTACTCTGGAAAAGAATGTATTAAATCACATTAAACTGACGCACAGCACTGTGAAAGGCTTGTGATTCCTTGGCTTGCAGTGTTCTGTGTGTGCAAATTGGCTGCAGTGTGGCTCTTGAAAAGGTCATTGCAACTCTATTGAGAATTAATGTTCTAATATCTCAGGCTGTGTTTACAACTAAACTCATGAAATATTACTGAATGTTCATTCTGCTAAACCTCCAGCTGAAGAGTAAATGGCAACTTCAGGTCCGTTTTACAAAGAACACACAATGAGGTGCCCTGAATGCAAGGATTTGATCTAATTTCTAAACAACTTGGGGAAAAATTAACATCTGTTCCAGTCTTGCAGAGAATAAATCACCTTCAACATTGTGTACTTCCACTAAAATATTCAGTATGAACGGCACTAAGTTCAGCGTTCCCAGTACAATACAAAAAATCTGGTTTTTACCTCATTTTTGCCTTGCTATTCCATAATACCCCAATAAAACCTAGTGTTTACTTCATGCTATGACAGCTCATTAAATGACTACAAGCAACTACAATCTCCCTCACAAGTGCTTGTTTTATAAGTTGTTTATGCAATGGTCATAAGAAAGAATTTCTCCCTGTTCTTTCGTCCAGTAGGTTAGAAATATTTACAGAGGCTGCCCAATGCCACAGAAAAAATATATCTTCTGTAGCCACTTACTTGAGTCTTCCCAGATCTCCTTTGAAGAGTTCATTCAAGCACAAAAGCAAGAATTTAGTTTTTTGTCCAAGATCTTCAATACGATGTGAAGAAGCATTTCTAATAAAATCACTTTCAGAATCCACAAATTTTAGCAAATAGCAACACTAGTCGTACTGAAGAAATACTTTCACAGAATTGTACACCTTCTTATCAAAACAGCATATGCAAAAATAAATGGGAATTCACTAACTGAAAGAGGGATGGCAAATTAGAGCTGCTAGGGAGCTTCGAGAGTTTGTGATTCTCAATAAATCCACAACAAAATAACTGCACCAATGTTCAGAACCAGAGAACTACATATGGAAATGTGCACGGACAAGAAAGATGGTTTACTGTGTGCACAACTTAAGAAGGAAATATATATAATGAACCTGGTATATAGGCTAATGTAACGTAAGAATTAACAATGATTCCATACACAGCTGTTAGGATTGTGTGCACAAAGCATGTAGCATGCTTTTGCACAGAAGTAGACCTTAAAAAAAATACAAAACCTGGATGGAATTGGATAGGCTGTAATTTGTAGGAGGGTACCATGACTAACAAGTTGTGACCAGTGTATTATTTTTGTTGCAGTGCACACCTGGGAGTCCCTCAAATTACTAGCTCTATGCTAAGTCATTTATGGTAGGTAATAAATTCAGTGAACAACATGTGTTCCAAATTCACCTAGAAGACATATACAAATTCTTACACACGCAAAGATCTCTATCAGACCTTAGTTTTACTTTGTTAGCTTTTTCAAGATCTCACATGCCACAAAGATCCACATTAAAGAACATTAGTTAAAGGTATGATATTCCAATAATTAACTTTCAGAAGACTCTTTCATTAAATACTAAGCATTTTTTTTGGGCTCTTTTTCCAACAAAAAAAACCAAACCCAACAACCCCAAACCAACAGCTTTTTTTAAAAAATAGTAATGAATAAAACTGATTTTTTTTTTAAATTAGAAATTCTTCCCCTTTCTAGAGCTTTGATTATTCAGTGTTAGTAATCAAGTTTCCAGTGCCCAGGAATAATAGCTGTGGAAAATCTCATAAACCCCAGAGATGGCCAATAATCTATGTAACAATATAGCTCATATTACCTTATCCTTTAAGAATAAACAAGACACTAGGATGAAAACCTAAGTGTTACCATAAAATATGAATACAGGAGAGAAAAGTCTTATCCATTGGACTAGTTTGTTAGACCTTAGGGCAGACACAAGAAAATTTGCAGTAGTTTTAAAGTGGCTGGATGCAGCTGACACGTTGCCGAATTATGTTCATGTCCATTCCAGCTGCAAGTAAAAATGTACAGACTTGAGATTATTAATAAGAGATGAAATGAGGACTTTAAAAGGAAGGAGTTTGGCTTTTAAATGTGTTTATCAATACTTCACAGATTATCATGGCAAATGAGCCAAAAGGAACACTTGTTTAAAGAGGTGCTTTGTTAGTATGACTCCAAGAAAAAGAAAGTAAAAAAGAGAGGCTAAAAAGTAGTAAAAGCAAGGGCTGTCAGTTCAGACTGTCAATTCAAACAAGTCCAAAAGGAAATTTATCTGTAAAGCCTCTTATTGAGGAAAGTGATGAGGTATGCACTGAAATAGAGATAGAACAGATAGGTAGATGAGTGTATATGCAGCCTAGAGTGTTCCTTAATCCATTTAATATGGCTAAGTGTTTTAAATTACCTGTATGGAATAGGCATCTATCTCAATAACAGTCAACTATGTGCGAGAAATGGAAATCATTCTGGCTACAGGGTGCTTTTTAGCCACAAGAAGAGCTGACTGCTAGTACATCTAATCACAGAGACTGACTGATTGGGCACTAATTTCCAATACAACCTTTCTAATGACAATTGGTTCTAAACCTACATTAATTTGTCACTGGGTCAAATATAGAAGTTGCCTCTGTGTTACTGATGGACAAGCTAACTTCTCCACACCCAAAAAACATGTAATGTGTAGCAACGTTCTTTCTTGAGAAAGATCATTTTTGAGAGGGTAATCAGTAAAGAACATTTTCTCTCAAAAAAACCCTCCAAAACTTAAGAGAAGCAGCTGTAGAAGAATTAACAGAGAGTTAAATAGAACACAGATTATGATGTTTTCCAAGCTTTCAAAAGCTACACTATTCCACTCAAAAGACTTACGGATTTAGTACAGTTTTGTGAAGTTTCATTGAAAATGGGACTGATAATATCTAATCTGGCATCCTACATATAACAGAATAGATTCTTGCAATTTGTCCATTCACTGCTTCAGAGCAACATGGTGAGTTATTTCTGACAAGTAACAGAGTTCAGTCTTTTTTAGGACTAGAAGCACAATAAACCCACGAAATTCACAGAAAGATTCATAAAATGTTCTACCGACTTTGAATCAGGCTCCATATTTTGACTAGAATAGAGTTAAAAAGGAAAAAAAAAAAACCCAGACCAAAATTGCTTTGGACTATTCATTTCAAAAACGTCCATTTCGTTGCATAATGTGACACTATCACAACACTATCACAAGCTCCATAACATTCATTACCAAGAACTGATAACTACAACACAGGTTAGAACGAAAAAACAGAAGAGTTTGCATTAGTCAAATTTCTTCCTGCACTTAATAACCCAAATATTTGGGTTTGGGCTTCAACAGAGTTATAACAGGGTTAATTTAGACAATGGTAGGACTAAAGTATTGTATATATTACATATGACATTAAAGTATTGTATATATGTGGGTTTCTGTCAAATTTCTCCAAATTCAGTAACTGAAAAAGGTAATGCTGTAACATGCAATGAAAACAAAAATAGTTTGGTTCAGAAGGAAAAGCAATAAATAATTTAAGGCAAAAAAAGACAAAATCTGGGGGTTTTCCCCCTGTGCATGCATGCTAACTGCTCTGTTTTCCATGTTATGTTACCTTGTTTCCCTTTCTTTTCTTGTACATATCTTGTACAGATATGTACAAAATACCTAATACC